ATAAAAATGTACCCTATAATTATATTCTGTAAAGGAATAATATCATAAATTTATAATATTATTTTTAATGATATTTACAATGAATAAAATAACTTAAATTTATGGGAAAATAATTAAAATTTTACTTTTTATACATAATAAAAAAGAGAAATAGCCTCATTTTATAATGAATAAATACATTTACTTCTTTTTTATCAAATAAATAATTTACAAAAAGCCGAAATTTTTGATTTTTCAGATTTTTTATTATAAATAATGATTAAAAATGAAGAGAATAAATATAATTTATACTTTTTGTTAGGCTTTATATTAAATTTGTATTATTAATTTACATATGAAAACTATTTTGGATAAAAAGGGTTACATATAGATGAATTTCTATTTAATTTACTGAATGAAAATTACGCAAAAGTGTACAAAGATTAAAGTAAATCATATTTAATGCATATTGGAGTAAAGAAAATGTTAAAAATAATACTAAAATGTGTATATATATTCGAAAGAATATTAAATAATGGAGAAATAGAGGAAAAATATATTAAAAAAATTGAAAAATATGCAAAGAACAATCCTTTTTAAGTTAAATAATTTTTTGAGGAATTATAAAAAAATTAAATTGAAATTTAAAAATTATTTTTAGAAAAAAAAAGCACTTCTTAATAAATGCAAAAAGTTAAAATTTTTCAATTTATTTCAAAATTAAGTCCTCATATTGCTTCTGGAAATTCTTTTTTGAATATAATAATGAAAAGTTTTTTTTCTTAAGAAATTTTATGTGAATTATTTGATATTTCCATAAACAAAAATAGTTTAATTTAAAATAATGAAAGAAATTATTATTTAGAATCAGTTCTTCATTTTTTTAATTTGCTTTTGGATTTTTAATCATAATATATTCAATAACTATTTATTCCCCATTTTTATTAAAAACTTTTTACTTTTTTTCTTGTTAATACAGATTATTTTTTTACATAAAATGGTTAAATTCCTTAAAAGTTTATTCTTTTAATAATCAAAAAATTATGCAAGAAATTTGTTTTAATGTTCTCTAATGAAAATAAAGAGTCTCTTTTGGAAATTTTAGAAAATAAATATTTAATGAATTCTTAAAATTCACTACAAAATACAAAAAATATTCTTTATATAATATATTATTTAAATAACTAAAAATTCATAAAAAATTACTAAGAAAATGCAATTAAAAACTTATATGAAAAAAAAACAGTATTATATTATTTATATTATTGAAAAATAATCAATAATAATTATTAAATAATAATTCTAGTTTAATATTTAATTCTGTTTTTGCAGTTTTAAAAGCCCATATTTCTCAGCCTATCTTATGGGGAAATTATATTTTAATAAGTGAATAAAATGTTTATAATATAATATTGTTTAAAACATTATTTAAATTAATAGATACTTAAAAGGAAAATAGCATTTATAATTATATAAAATTACTAATAACTTTAATAATTTCTCCAAAAGAATATTCTCCTACTTCTAAAAGAGCGGATGAAATATTTCTATGCTTTAAATCTTTAGAATTATTAAATAATATTTCCACAAAAGTTAACTGTGAATAATTCTTGCCCTTAACATTAGTTTATTTTTCATATATAGCCCATTTAAATGATTTAGAAATAAGAAGATTTTTTTTTATTTTATGATTAAATAATGTAGAAAGATTAGTAGAATATTTACTTGTATTTTCTATTTTTATTTATATGAAAAAGTTGATGTAGATGAAAATATGATTTTATTTTCTAAAATTTTTCTAAAAAAGATATTCTAATAAGAAAATATTTAATTAACACTTCCTTATTTCTTTTTCATTCTATTATTTAATCCTTTTTATTAAAACTTTAATAATATCTGTAAAATTTTAATTGTTTTTACTAAAAATATTGTTAATGATAAAAATTTTAAATTATTTTATTTATATGTTCATCATTTAAAAACTAAAACTTAACCTAAAATACTAGTTTTTCCATTATAAGAGTTTTAATTTAATTTTATTAAATAAAACCTAAACTAAATTTCAAATAAAATTATGGAAAATTAAGATTTATAAAAAAGGATTAATTACGATTTTACACAAGAAGATTCTTTAGAATAAAAATTTTAACTTATTTGTGATATTTTTATGTTTTTAATATCATAAAAATATAAAGATTTTGGATAAATTGATAATTTTATATTTGAATTTCCTAATTCTTAATTTTTTATTCCAAAATAACTTGAAGTATAAGAAGTATTTAAATAAAAAAATTTACCACAGAAAAAAAATTTAATAAAAAGGGAAAAAAATGAAATAAATTTAAAATAAATTATATAATTAAATAACTTATAATATATTTTATTAATTAATAATTTACTTCTATTAATAAAAATATTATAATATATAATTTTATATAATAATAAAAAAATAAAAAATATAAATGTTTAAAATAATTATTTTTATTTTCTTAATTATTAATATAATACTTAATAAGAAAATTTCTAGTTAAAATAAAAAATTCTTGCATAAAAAGTAGTTTTTAAATTATAAAAAATGGTTTATAAAAGGAAGATATAGTACAAACGAAAACACTTGTATTGAAAGATGCTTATAATAAGGTGGAATGAATTGTGGAGGAAATTTATATTTAGCATGCTGTAAATCTCAAGAAAATTGTATTACTTATACTGCTATAGGAATTTCTAGCTGTCAATAAATTTTAGAAAATTTTAGATGTTGATATAATTATTTTATTTAATAAATTTATTTAAAATAATTACAATCTATAATAATAATATAGATTATTTATGTTTATAAAATCAATATAAAATTATTACTAAATTAAATAAAACAAAAAGTTTTAACATATATATTAGAATTTTTATAAATATATATTTGTAGTTATAATAATTATATAATTAGTGAATAATTTTTTTTTCTATAATAAATATTATTTAATTTCTTTTAACATATAAAAATAACATTATCATTTTAAAAAATACATTATCATTTTAAAAATTATATTATCATTTTTTAAAAAAAAATAATTGAAATTTAAAATATTAAAAAAAATTATAATATAATAAATAATAATTTATTTATAAATTTTGATTATAATTTTAAAAATTAGATGTACATGTTTTTTTAATTAAACTGATTTATAAAAATAAATATATTTATTATATTTCAAAAGTTTTTTTTTTTATCTTTTTATATAATTTTAAATAATAGTATTTATTTAATTTAATACAATCTAGTAAATTTAATTAAAATCTTAAAATTATTAAAAAAACAATAGAATAAATAAATTTATCAAAAATTATATAGATTTTAATTATAAATTACTATATTATATAACCAAAAGTCTTTTTTATATAAATTATATCGGATTCTTTAGTTTATTTATATATTAATTTATTAAATTTTTTTTTAAACTTGCAGTAATTTTTTATTTTTATAAAGTATTCTTTTATAAAAATAAAAAAATTAATTGTTTTTTTTATTTATTATATTATCAAAAATATATAATTTATAAAATATTAAAATATAAACAATAAATATATTCATTTTGAATTTTTATTATTTAGCTAATTTCTAATAAGGCAAAAAAGATTTTACTATTATTTATTAATTTCTTAAATTTTTAAATCTTAATCTTTTCATATTTAATTTTTTAATTTTATATTTATAAACCAAATTATTTTTTATAATATATTTAATTTTGTATAATCTTTAAATTACAATTTCATTTTTATTTTATTAATTTTAAAAAATATAATAGTAAAATAATACTATTATTTTGCTTTTATATTAATTTCAAATAAAAATTTTTATTATTAACAAAACACATATAGATAAATTTACTTGTAATTATTTTTCTTGTTAATAAAAACTTTATTATATTTATATTTAATTTTTATAATATTTAAAAATCTTTTGTAAATAAGATTTTAAAATAATTAAACATTTTTTATTTAATAAAAAATAAAAAAATATAATAAAAAAAAAAATATTAATAATTATTTTAAATTATATAATAATTTTTTAATATAAACTTAAGAAATTAAAATTTTTTAGAAAAAATATGTTAAAAAAATAATTATGATCAAAGTTATTTAAAAATTCATAATTAAAAAAAAAAATATTAATATATTTATATATATATATATATATATATATAAATATTATATTTTTTTTTATTATTATTTCCAAATTTTTAATTGATTTTTTAAATTTATTACATTATTAAATTTATACTTATTTAATATTTTCTACTTTTATATAATTTTAAAATTATAATTTGTTTTCTATAATTATTTAAATAAATATTTATTCATTAAATATTTATTGAATATTTTTTTTTTATTTTCTTTATTATTTATTTATTATTTTCTAATATATATTTTTATTTAATAAGTAATTTAGAGTTTTAATATTTTTTATGTAACAAATTTTTATTGTTTTTTTAAAATATTTTAAATTGAATTAAAATGATAATAATTTTAATCAAAAATAGTATAAATATACTACTATTTTATATTAAAAATTAGAGTTGATATTATTTTAATATTTTAATTTAAAATGTTTTAGTAAATTTTTTTATTATTAATTTTATAAAAATTTAACAAATTTTTTAATTAAATATTTATATTATAAATAATTATGTAATAGATAATTAATAAATATTTTTAATATTGTTAAATAAATTTTAAGAATTCTTTAATTATAAATATTATTTTAAAGTATTTTCTTACATATATTTAACTTATTAAACTTATTTATAAGTATAAACATTTGTAATAAATAAATAAAAAAAATATTTTTTGATTTGCATAATTTAATTAATTAATTATAAATGTTAAGAGATTTGGTTTAATATTAAAATTACACGTTTAGATTTTTAGACATATAAATTAAAAAAAATAAAAATAAAGAAAAAAAAAAAAAATTAATATAACAAATAAAAATATAGATATTGTTTAAAAGACAAAAAAATATATAATCATAATATAAAAATTATCCAGAATATGCAAAAAACATTTATCATAATACTTTTAATATTTATATAATTAACATTCGCAGCATACAGAAAATATTATTAAATTTTAGGAGTAAATCCAAATGCTAGTGATTAAGAAATAAAAAAAGCCTATAGAAGATTATCGGTATAATATCATCCTGATAAAAATAAAGACGCAGGAGCCACTGAAAAATATTAATAAATAAATACAGGTATAAAATTATTTAATTATATCACAAAATATTATTTTAAAAAATATTAAAATAATTTAAAGCATATGAAGTTTTGAAAGACAAAGATTTAAGAAGAGCATATGATTAAGAAGGAGAAGAAGGAGTGAAAAGATATTAAGCTCAAAAATAGTAAGGTAATAGTCCTGACATGGACTTTTTCGGAGGGATATTTGGAAACTTTTTTGGGTAAATTAAATATATATATATATATATATATATATATATATATATATATATATATATATATATATAAAAGTGGAGGAAATAAAAGAAATGTCGAAAAAAGAGGCCCTGAATTAAAAATAAAACTCTATACAAGTTTAGAAGATATTTATAGTGGAAACGAAGTTCCTTTTTTTATTACAAAATAAGTTTTATGCCCACATTGTAGAGGTACAGGTGCAAATGACCCAGATGATGTTAAAACTTGCCCTGCTTGTAATGGAGGCGGATATATTATTAGAAAATAATAAATAGCACCTGGTTATTATTAGCAATTTTAAGCTTAATGTGATAGATGTAGTGGAAAAGGAAAGATTTTAAGGTCTAAATGCTAAGTTTGTTAAGGATAAAAAGTATATTTATTTTTATATGAATTCTATATTAAATAATAATAAAAAGACTATGCAAGGATATGACGAAATGTCAGTTTTTATTGAAAGAGGGATTGAAGATGGATAAACGATAGTATTTTATTTTTTATAAATAATAAAATAATTATTTATTTTTATATTAGAAATTCGAAGGAGGAGGTGATGATTATGTTGATATGAGTTCTTCTGATATAATTTTTGAAATAAAAGAATTGGCTCACCCTGTTTTTGAAAGAAAAAAAAATAATTTACATGTTTCAGTAGAATTAACATTAAGAGAAGCTATTTTTGGATTCAAAAAAAAAATTAAACATTTAGATAATCATTTTGTGAAAATTAATAAAGTTGGAGTTACTTAACCTGGAGAAATATAAAAAATAGTAGGCGAGGGTATGCCATTACATTAATAATCTTAAACTTATGGAGATTTGTATATATAATATAAAGTAAGATTAGAAAAATCATATACTTCATAATAATTAAAAAGTAATTAATATATATAAATTAAATTAAAAAGTTTTTACTATATTTTTTAATTTTTAAGAATTGGAAGAATTTTTTTCGTTAAAATGATAATATGGATATGAAAAAGATATAAAAAATAAAATATTTATTTAAATATAAAATTAATGTTTTTATATTTAACTTAATTATACAATATTCATTAGAAATTAATTATAAACATTTATCATATAATATAAGCTCTTTTTTTTAAAAAAAAAAAAAAACCAAATTTTCAAGTTTATGTAAAAATTAAATTTAACTTCTTATAAATTATAAAAATATTAATCTAATTTTATTAAATTATTAGAAAATAAAATTTATGTTTAAATTCTAATGCATTTTTTATTTTTTTATAAATATTAAATTTAATAAGTCAGTAAAATATTATAAATTTATATTATTTAAAATAAAATTTGTGTTTAAATTATTAAATTTTAAAATCCATTAAACACATTTAATTAAAATATAAAATAAGTGTATAAAAAGAAAAAAATTGAAATAAAATTTAATTAAATTTAAAATTTAAAAACACAATAATGAATTATTTTAAAAAGAAATACATTTTTTAAATTGTATATTTTTAATTCAAAATCTTTCACCTCTGATTCTTCTAGCCAATTATAAATCCTTAGTCATAATTGTAACTCTTCTTGCATGAATAGCACATAAATTGGTATCTTCAAATAATCCAACTAAGTAGGCTTCAGAAGCTTCTTATAAAGCAAGAATAGCTGAAGATTAGAATCTAAGTTCAGCCTTGAATTCATGGGCAATATCTCTGACTAATCTTTAGAAAGGAAGCTTTCTAATTAATAAATCAGTTGATTTTTAATATTTTCTGATTTCTCTAAGAGCAACTGTTCCGGGTCTGAATCTATGGGGTTTCTTGATTCCTCCTGTAGCAGGTGCTGATTTTCTAGCAGCTTTGGAAGCAAGTTATTTTCTAGGAGCTTTAGCACCAGTAGATTTTCTAGCAGTTTATTTAGTTCTAGCCATTTTTTTTTTTATAATTGTTTTCTTTTTTTATTTATTTTTTATTTATTTATTATTATATATTAATTATTTTTTTATTTATGTGATAAATACTGTTTAAATTAAGAAACAAAAGATAAATTAAAAGAAAGATTTAAAGTAATATTATTTAAAAAAAATATAAATTTTAAATATTAATAATGTAATTATTTTAAAATAACAAAGATAGTAATATTTTATTTCTTTATTTTTTTTTAGATTGGATTAATAAAAATAATTATTTTGTACAAAAATTCCATAATAATTAAATTATCCAATCATATTCGAAATCTATCATTAAACAGATAATTCAAAATTTTAAACATAAAAAAAATAAAAAATCTAATAAATAAATAAAAAATTAAAATTAAAAAAAACTAAAAAAAAAAAATCAAATAAAAAATGGCCGTAGGAAAAGGTGGAAAAGGAGGAAAAGGTATGGGTAAAGTTGGTGCTAAAAGACACTCCAGAAAATCTAATAAAGCATCAATTGAAGGAATTACTAAACCCGCTATCAGAAGATTAGCAAGAAGAGGAGGAGTAAAAAGAATTTCTTCTTTCATTTATGATGATTCAAGATAAGTATTAAAATCCTTCTTAGAAAATGTAGTTAGAGATGCTGTTACATATACTGAACATGCAAGAAGAAAAACTGTTACTGCTATGGATGTAGTATATGCTCTCAAGAGACAAGGAAGAACTCTTTACGGATTTGGTGGTTGAAAAGTTTAACAAAGAAATTTAATTTTATAATTTCATATAAATTTATTAAGTTTTTATTTGTAAAAAAAATTTAAAATGATATTCATATTAATTAATGTGTTTATTTCTTGTTTAAATTCTATTTTTAAATTACAGTTTTATTATTTAATTAATTATACTTTAATTAAATTAAAACTATATTTTTATATACTTAAAGGTTAATATAAACTAAAAAAATAAATTGTATTGAAAATTTTATTGACTTTTTATTAATTATTTTTTAATTCTAAAAAAATAAAATAATTATAATGCATTTTTAATTGAATTATATGTTTTAATCGATTAATTTTTTATCATATTGCTTTGAAATATATATATTCTAACATTTATTTTAATATAAATAATTATAAATATTGTTGCTTTAAATTAATTTTATACTAAAATATAAAATTTATGATTTTTTCCATTTTGATATAGAAATAAAAATACAATTTATATATATTTTTTTCTTTTCTACATCCAATTTTGAAAATTGGGATTAAATTTCATATTTTAATTGTTTTTTAAAAACAAAATAAAAAATTTAATACGTAAATTTAAAAATTTAAAATCATTTATCATTAAATAAATTCCTTTGAAATTCTAATATTTAAATATATTATCTTTTTTAAAAAAATTGGAATAATGTCTTAACTGGTTTTAAAATATAACTTAAATTCACATATACTAATATCTCTATATATTTAGATTTGAATATGACATTTTTTTAAAAAAATATAGGGTGTAGATATATATTAATTAATGATAACAATAATGTTTCATAAAATAATTAATAGGATTTTTCTTTTCATAAAAAAAAAAATATGGATATTTATATATATATTTTTTAAAATAAAAAAAAGCTTAAAAATATTCAATATTTTTATTCTGAATATGATTTTTTTAACTAATACTTTATTTTTTTAATAATTTTTATATTTAAAATTTTTTATTATATAAAGGCCTAAAAGTCGAATTATTATTAAAAAAACGACTCTTCCGAAAAAAATAAAAACTTTTTTTCTTAAAAAATCAGTATCAGTATGAATATTTAATTTTAAATATTAGATTATTTCATTTTCATATTAAAATATATAAAAATATAAAAGTAAAAAATGCATATTATTAAATTTTAATTAAAAATTATCAATATTTATTATAAAACTTAAGTATTAATAATTTTTTCTTAAAGTTCAATAATTATAAAAAAAGGCAAAAATAAATGGATTAAAGACTCTTTTTTTTCGTTTATTGAGTTTATAATTAAAATATTACTAAAAAAAAAATTAAAAAATTAATATAATTTAAATTATAATTTTAATAAGTTATATATAAAAAAAGATTCTAATTTATGTATACACGATTTTAATTATAATAAAAACTTATTTTATCTAAAAATACAAATATATTTTATCTTTTTATTTATAAACAAAAAATATAACAAAAATAAAAAATATGATAAAATTAACATTATTAATATTAGTTGTATTATAAGTCTCATATACTTTAGATATGAACATGAATCACGGTGAACCATATTGTTTTTATAGAAAACTAAATGCAGAAGAAGAACTATTAATTACATATGAAGTAAGTGGTAGAAATCCTGATTAAGTTTCATTTAAGGTAAAATTAATAATTAATTTGAGATATATAAATTTTTTTATTGAATTTATAATAAGTTATACGATGAAGAAAACAAATATTCACCATTTCATTAATAAGCTAGAATGAGAAACGGTTAATATCTTTTAAAATGTCAAAAATCATAAGAATATATACTTTGTTTCTAATCTTTGGATAATTAAGGAAAAGTATTATAATTTGAAATGGATTTAATTAATAATAAGCATAATAATTATATAAATGATAGTAATAAAAATAAGAATTAAATAGATAAAATAAAATATACAAATACTAAAAAATAAAAATAAAAATAAATAAACTTATTAAAAAATATATTTAATATTATTATTAATATAATTATTATTATTATTATTATTATTATTATTATTATTATTATTTATTTTGATTATTATTATTATTTTCTTAATTTATTTATTATATAATATATATATATATATATATATATATATATATATTTATATATATATATTAATATTATTTTTATATTTTTTTATATATTTATATATATATATATTTAGAATCATTCAGATAAACATATGATATGACTATTAAATGTTATGAAAATATGCATAATATTTATAGTAGACTTAGACATTCTTTAAAAAGACATGAAGTTTAATAAAATTGTACTTTAATTATTTATTACATATTATAAATTCTTTTCTTTTTATTAAATAATATCAATAGATATTGTATCAACTGAAAACAAAGTTAAGTGGTGTAATATTGTAAAAATGTTATTTATGATAATTATTACAGGCATTTAAATTTTAATCTTAACTGGAATGTTTAAAGATTACAATTCTTTTAGCGTTTGAAAAATAAAATTTATAAATATTTAATATAAAAAAATACATATATTTAATAAAATTAAAAAATTCATTAATTTAAAAAAATAATATATTATTTTATTCTAATTAATATATATAAATTAATATTGATATTTTAAAATATTATTAAGACTGTTTATTATTTTATATATAATCATATTTTTAATTTATATTTAATATTTGTTTATTATCATAATATTAAATTTTCTAAGCTTTTATAATATTTATTAATAATAAGTTGATATTTGTTACAAATATTTCAACTATTTTTATATATAAATATTTTTATATTTTTTATTTTATAAAATATAAATTAATTATGATTTTTATATATAAAATTATTTCTCTATAAGTATACAACAAAATTTATATTTAATTTTTACTTTAAATAAATTAAAATTAATAATATAATTTATTGAAATCAATTCTTTATAAATATTAAATTTTTAGGATTGTTTTATTAAGCTAATTTTAATTTCTGAATAAAAAACTTACAAAAATTTATATATATATATAAAATAATAATAATTAGAATCAGTTTTTTTATATTAAATATCAAAATAATTATTATAGAAGTATAAATATTCTAATTTTTTGTTATAAAAATAATATGATTAAAAGATTTTATCAAATTTATTAAAATATTTAATGTTAATTTTAAATAATAAATTACTAAAATTAAAGTTTTTAATTTATAAATATATTAAATATATATGTATTTTATGAAATTTTAAAAATATCATTAATTTTATAATTAATTATATAATTTATAATAAAAATACTTTCAATTTTATATTAATTTTATTTTTTATATTATTTTACTATAAATTAAATAGTATATAAATATATATTTTTTGTTTATTTTTAAATTATCTTCAATTTTTATAGATTTTGTTCTAATTATATAATATCATTTAAATTGAAACTAAGTAAATATAATAAATTAAAATTATAAAATCTTTTTTATAAATTTCAATATTATACATTTAAAATTACTTTTATAATAAAGATACTAATATTAGAATTTATATTTTTAATTTTTTTGTATAAAAATTATTTAATTTATTAATTGGTTTTAAATTTTTCAATCATTAAAAATTATTTATAAAATAAAAATAATTTATTTTTAGAAAATATTTAAATAGAAATTTTAAATTTTTTGATAAAAAAATTTGAATATTAAAAATAATTTAATTTTGTTTAAAAGTAAGAATTATATCAAATACCTAAATCTATATATTTTATATGTTCTAAAAGTTAATTTAAGCTTTTTATATTTAATTAAATATATATAAATATTACTAAAAAATATATTAATTAATTAATAAAACTATTTAATCTATATTTTATCTAAACTTATTTGGAAAACATTTTTAAAAATAAAATTAAAAAAAAAATAGTTTATTAATTTTATTTAAAGTATAAAATAAAATTTTAAATAAAACAATGTAAAAAGTTTAAGATATTGACGTTTTGTTCTAACTTAAAATTTGTAACTATTATTGTTAAATCAATTATTATTTTTAAATATATATAAGTAAGACAAAAAATAATAAGCAAGTTATTTACAAAACAAATTTTTTAGCTAAATTTTCATTTATTTTTGATAAAAAACTATTTTTTGACTTTTAAGTTTTTATAAATGATAAAAAGTTATAAAAAAATATTTTTAAAATAAATAAATAAATTCAAAATAAAGAAAATAAAGCAAAAAAAATTATTTTTAAAAGGTACTTTTAAATTTTGAAAAATATATTAAAAAATTAAATAATAAAAAAATTATTAAAAGGAAATGCTACCATCATAAAGTTCAAGTGAATTAGTAACTATATCAACACATTCAAAAGATCAAGAAGATAGAATATAAAAGCAAGACTAAAATATTTAGAAGATAATTTAATTAGGTTTAGAGGAAAAGATATTAAAAAGTCATATAAAATAAATAGATATTCCTGATGCATTAGTAAAAATATAAAGTAATATGTAAATATTAAGCTTAAAGTAATATGGAAATTTCGTGCGCGCAGTAAGCAATTTACTCAAAATAAGTTACGAAAATCTTTTTTAAGACCTAAGAGATTACCATATGCGTTTCAAAAACTAAATAATGCAACAACAAGAAAAAGAGCGAAAACCAAGAGAAGCATCTTCAAGAAAATAAATATAATAGCGTGTAAGAGAATTTGCTAGAGATGCAGCTTTATCCATAGGTTCAGTAGAAGAGCGCTCAAATAGTTCAATTTAATAACCAAGACATTTGTAGAGTGAAGAAAGACTTAATATAGAAGAAAAAGGTCTTATATCTCCTGAAGTTGGATTAGTAGGAAATCATATAGATATTTAAGTGGATTAAGATACTGGGTTTAGTGATTAATTAGGGCTATAAAAAATAGAAGAAATGAAATAAAAATTCGAATAAATTATGGAATATTAAGAAGATATTAAAAGTTTAAATGTAACAGAAGAGTTAAATGAAATTAGTATTAGTGAAAGAAATCTATAGCCAATATTAAAAGCAACAAAAGTAAGAAAAGAAAAGAAAATGGATAAAGCTGAAAAAAAGGCAGTTTCATTTATAATGGAAGACTTTAATTTAAACAAAGAAAATCTTACTAAAGTAATGGATAATAAAATCGAAAGTTTTTTCTATTTACAAAATTAAGAAACTACTGCTACTTTTAATGCTTTTAATGTTACCCCAGTTGTATAAGATTCAAGTGAATTTTTAAAAGAATTATTTTCTTTAAATGATGTCGTAATATGTGATTTTGAAAAAATGAATCAAGATTTTGATAATTAAGAGTTTCTTTTGGGAATAGAAGGAACCCTTAAAAAAATCGGAAAAGAAAAAATTGAAGCTGAAGAAGATGGTATTTTTCCTGAATTTGGAGAAGATGATTTTTACCTTTAAATTTAATCAGAACGCAAAAAAAAAGATTAAGAAGAAGACTTTCTTCCTTTTTAAAAAAATGAAGAAGAAGTTGTACCCATTAAGGATAAAACTCTTAATGAAGAAGAAAATAAACAATTTCTTAAATATGAAAAATTTTTTGTTTCTCTGTTGAATTTTTGTTAAAAAGAAGTTCGAAGTTTTAAGGATATTTATGGTAACTTTAAATCTTATATGAATTAAGCTGAACTTTTTTATGATTTATTAATCTTAAAAAAATTAGGAAAAATAAAAATAAATTAATCTGATTTACTTAATTATAGTCAGCTAAATATTTAAGTTTTATGATTTATTTGTTAAAAAATAATATATTAATCATTATATTTTGTATTATTAATTTATAAAATATTTGTATATTTTATTAAAATATACATAATTTTTTTTTTTAAATCATCTCTAATTTTTTTTAAAAAAAGTTAATTAAATACTGTCTATAATTATAATAAAAAAAATGGAAATATAATTAAATCCTTTAACAAAATTGCATTAAGAACATAATATAAGAGATCATTTTCATTTTGTATCAAAGAAAATAACAATAAATGAATTAGATTCGTTTCTTCCATATTATAAATGTGATGAAATTGGTCATGAAGAATTGATTCTTGACCAAGTTTGTATTGATGATATTTGTTAGCATAAAGGATTAACATGTCCTCGCTGTGTAAATATAAAACATGGAAACCATATTTCAAAAATTATAAATTTGAATACATTTATAAGCGATTTGATATATTCTTAATCTGAGAAGAAATCTATATTGAATAAAGAATTTGATAAAAGTAAGAACTATAAGGATTTATTAATGAATATAAGCAAAGAATTCGTAGAAGATATAATAGAGCATTTTTCATTATTTATTAGTTAAATCTATAAATATTTTAATGTTTTTTTAAATGAATATGAAGATCTTATTATCCGTTCAGATGTAATAATCGATAAAATATTACATAGACAGCATATAAGAAGAGATTTATTCGGAAAATACATAAAAAATATAATCGAGAATATAGGAAATAAAGAGAAAAGTGAATTTCTTTTAAAAGATTATGAAAAAGCATTTGAAAAAATAAAAGATTTTTAAGAAAATATAATACATGCTACAAAATAAACAAAAGATTTTCTTAAAGAAAATTTGAGTTCTTTAACAAAAAAAATGGATTTGAAAACTTTAGGGACAGGAATAAATTATATTGATTTTGACATGGGAACTTTAGCTTTACAAAGGAAATTTAAAAACTAATATTAAAATAAATTGGAAGGAATTTTTTAAAATTTTGAAAATATAAATGGAAATGAATAAAATATTTTGAAAGAAAATATTCAAAATAAATACTAAGGTAGTGGTGGTATTAAATCACTTTTAGACCAAGCAGAAGATTTAAAACCAAATTTATTTATTATGAATAATAATAATTCTTAAGTAAAGATAAAAAATAAAAAGTTCATAGATTCTGTAGATTCTTTAATGTAAAATCAAATGCCTTCTTTTAAAAAGTCTCTTAATCAAATAGTCAAATAAGAAGATTTATATCCTTCATATGTTGATTATGCAAGAAAAAAATGTATTTTAGGACGAACTTTTAAAACTATATAAAATGCACAAATATTAAAAGTCAATACAATAAAAACATCTTAAGTTAACATTTCCTGTATTTGTGTTATATCTTAGGATTTAGTTGCTGTAGCTGGAAAATTTTCACCTTTTATAGAATTTTATAGGCTTTCTGATAAATAAATAATAACTAAAATAGATACATTATAGCATTAAGGTATAAAATGTATGATTTTAATGAGAAAGGAGCAAGATGAAATTGGATAATGGTAGCCAATTTTAGTAATAGGAACTTACAGTGAAGAAGATAATATAATAAGCTATAAAATAGATATTTTGAAGAAATATGAAGGCAAAGAGAGCATTAATATAAGTGTAAAAACTTACAAGAAATTCGAGAAGTTGAGAAAAGCTGCTGTTTCATATTTAGCTCAACTTTATTTAAATTAATTTTTTATTGCGGGTTTTTCTTCTGGTTGCATTAGCATCTATAGTGTAGAAAACTCAATAGCTTTGAATAATGTAAATAATTTATTTGATTAGCCAATTCATAATATATATGTTGTTGAAGAAGGTAAATTCTTTATTACAGCTACTTTAGATAAAATTAGATTTCATACTATTAATTTACTTACTCATGAAAGAATTGAATAAGATATTTCAACATTCTATATAGGTTTTTTATATTTATTTATGATATTTTTGTATTTATATATTTAGGATCAAACTCTATGAACTGTATTTTACCAACTAATGCTTTTAATTAAGAAGGAAGTTATTTGAATTTTTAACATATTATTTGTGGTGATTTTAAATTTGAAGATATGGAATAGTACAAAGAAGGTTGCATAAGGATTCTTAGAGGTGGATAAAAATCAATAAGAATGTGCGAAGAGTAAGTTGTTTCAGTACTGAATGGAGGCTAAAATAATGCTATTAAAGATATAGTTATTATTGAGCCTAGAGTTAAGTAAAGGATGGCTCTTTTACTTGTTTTTGGATATTAACATAGAATAAAGCTTTTTGAGTTAAAAAGCCAGTTTGGAGAAACTTTAAAATTATGGGAAAAAAATGTCGATGATTTTATTAATAATGTTGGAAAACATGTGATTAAAGCTAAACTTTTATGTGAAAGTGTGGAAGTTGCTAACATTAAATGGGCGGATGTAAATTAAAAAGTTCAAATTTTATCTGCTTTTGAGAATTCATTTACGGGAAAAATTCAAATTAGATTTGCTGTTGTTAATCATTAATCAAAATGTGATGTCGATATTTTTGAATTAGAAATGGAAGTTGGATATTCTTGAATAAATATATTCTTATTTATCTATTTCTATTTTTCTATTTAAAAAAAGTTTATAAGATTTATATTCTAATTAGTTTAATATATATTTTTCTATTTAACTTATTAATAAATAAAACACTCATTTGGTGGTATAAAAATAAAGAATTTTTTATCAATTAAAAAAAAAAAAATTACTAAAAAAGACAAACATTTAAAGTTTATTTATTTATTATAATTAAATTAAAATTGAGATTAATTTGTAGATATTTTATAAAAATAAAACTTTAAAAAAATTATTCATACATAAAATTAATAAATAAATACATTATTTAAATAAATGATATAAATGATTAAAACTAAAAAAATAAAATATAAATATATTCTATAAATAAAAAAAATTAAAAAATATATAAATAATATTAAATATGTAAATAGTTATTTTAATTAAAAAAAATTAAAATATTTTCTTTTACTTTAAATAGATATGTAAAATATAATAAATTATATATTTTTATTTTATAATAAAATATAATAATTGTATAACAAATATACAAAAGAATTTTTCGTTGAAAAATAGAAATTCAAAATTAATTCACAAATTTAATAAAAAAAAAAATGATTAATAACTAATTAAAAAGTTTTAAAGAATAAGTATTATAAATAAAAATAAAATAAATATATATATAAAAAATAAGTAAACTTAAAAATATAATATAAAAAACAAATAAATAAAAAAATAATGTTATAAAAAAAATATATGATATTTTAAAAAATAAATAATATTAATTTATAAAATAAAAATATATAAATTTATTTAAAAAAAATAAAATAAAAGTAAAAATGATATAATAAATAATAAAGATATATACAAAAAAATAAAATAATAATATAAATATTAGTAATAATAATATAATAATAATAATAATAATAATAATAATAATAATAAAATTAATATTTATATTTTATAAAAATAATAATAAATAAATTTATTATTATATATTATAAAAATAATATAAATGATAATAATTATAATAAATATAATTTTTTAAAAAAAGATTTTATACAAAATTAAAATACATACTTTAAAAAATTATTTTCAAATTTTCTACATTTTAATATATTTTATTTAATTGTAAAATAATATAAATATAATTTTTTTAAATATACTATATATAAATTTTAAAATATTATACATATTTTTAATTAAAATATTTTAGTAATTTGTTTATGTTCTTAAACAAAAATTACTATTTTTTATAAATATTAAAATATTTTTAAAACTATTATAACTTGGATTTATATATATATATTTAAATACAAATTTTTATTATAAATTTACATATTATTAAATTATTATTCTAAAATATAACTATTAATAAAAAAATTTTTTTTTCACTTTTAATATTTATTTGTTTATATTTTAAGATATTATTTATATTAAATTATTTTAAATTTAAAAATAATTTTTTTGAATTTATAATATTTATAAAATAATTTAAGCTGGAATTATATAAAATTTATTTTCATATGATTCTATATTATTATAAAAATTAAATTATATGAGATTAAATTTTTAACTTTAATATAATTATTTTTTGAATAAATGATATCTTTAAATTATTTTATAAATATAAAACAAAGTTATAAAATTTAATTTTAATGTATACATGATTAAAAGAAATAAAGTTTTATTAAATAATAAATTTTAAAAAATAATATTATATTATTAATAATATAATTAAAAATTTAATATTTTAAAAGTAAAATTAATATTTAATAGTATATTATTACAATTTAATAATTTTATAATATTAAAGATAAATTGAGAAAATTCATTTTTAAGAATAGATAAAAATTATTAATAAATGAATTGAAAAAAAATATAATTATAAGTAATTACAAATAAATATTAAAAATCTTAAAAGAATAAATGATTTTGAAAAATAAATATATAAAATATAATTTAATATTAATTATATAATGTATACATAACAATTGTATATATTTGAATTTTGTTTTATTTTCTTTAAAATTAAAATTAAAATATTACATATATTATAATTCTAATTAAAAAAATAGTAATAATAAAAAATATTATTATAATGATTTCAATTATATATTATAAAAAAATTTTAAATAAAATTTTATAAAAATAAATTTATAAAAATAAATATAATATTATATTACATATAAATATATATATATATAAATATAAATTTATTATATTATTATAATTAAATTTTAATATATTTATTATATAATTTTATTAATATATGTTAAAAAAAAATATTTAAATTATAAATTATTTAAAAAGTTAAAAATACTATATAATTTTTTTTTTTTAACTATTACTTTAATAATTTATTATTTAACTATGATTTTCCTATAATTATTATGAGCTTTTAATCATACTTTTGATTAATTTAATATAATTATGGCATCATAAATAAAAATATTTACTTATTCTCTTTTTTATTTTATAATTTTCAAAATTACAAAAAGATTATACAAAATTTTTTAATATTGAATGATACTTTTTAATTATTACTTTATACGAATTAGTATTATTATTATTTATGTTTTATTCATAATTCATTTATAGAATATTATATAATTTTTTTAATATACTAACAAAATCTTCTTTTATTAAATAAAATATCCTTTATTTTTAATTATATAATATATTTTAATATAACTTATTGTTTTTATATAATATCTAATTATATATAAATATTATTTTTACATCTATTTTTAAAAATCATTTTTTTTTATAATATAAAAAATAATGAATAGAAAATCATAATATAAAAATAATTCCTATTATGGTCTACAAGATTAAGATGTTGAAGATTTTTTGGAAATTTTTGAAATTTTAGATTTAGATAGAAAAAATAGAATTTAACCTTAAATATTAATAGGTTAAAAACAAAAAAAATAATAAAATATTTAGTATATAACTTAGACAGAAATACTCCAAGACAGTAATTTTCATTTTAAAAATTAAATAATGAATGAAATATTTATTGATTTATGTGATTTACAATAAAAGGATAATTCAGATGGAATAACTAAAGAATAATTTTTGAACGCTATATCATAAAAAATAAAAGAAAAATAAACTAAAAACGGAGTTGATAAAATATTTAATTTATTTGATGTTTGTAAGGAAAATAGATTAAATAAAGAAAGCCTTTAAAAAATAGCAACTGAAATTGGGGAAGATTTAAATGATGCTGAATTAAGTGATTTAATCGAAAGAATCTCGTTAGATGGTAAACACATTTTAAGGGAAGATCTATATAATGCATTAACTAAAAACAATTATTGAAAAAAAACTAAAATTATTATATTTTTATTTAAATTCTTTAAATTTAATGTTTCAATAAATGTTAAATTTTAATATTTTAAAACATTTATAATAATTAAACTATTTTAAATAAGTTTATATATATTAATAAATTTAATTTTTAATAATTTAATTTAAATGCTTCTTTGTTGTATTTTTATTTAATATTTTATTCATTAATTTTATATTTATTAATACTAAGTATTTGCTTATTCTATTATTATTTCTAATATGATACCTAATTTTGTATTATTTAACTAGTAATTATAAACCTTTCTTTAATATATTTTTAAAAAAATCAATGATATATAATTTATATAATAGCAATATAATATAATATAATTATTTTAATTTATTATTAAATTGATATTTTATAGTATAACTTATTAAAATTAACATTTTTCAAAAATATTAAATTCATTATAATTATTATATAATAATAATTTTTTTAAATTTGTTATATATTTTATTTTAAAAAGTTATATTTTAATAAATAAAACCAAAATATTAATTATTTTAAAATTAAAAAACCTATTATTTACTATATTATATTCTCTCATTAAAATTGTTATTATAAATTCATATAATAAAAATCTTATTATTATAGAAATCTAATTTCCACATTTATATTTTATTGATCCATTATTTTTAAACTAAATATCTATTCAATTTTGAGAATTATTGAATTTTTCTTTAAATTTAACTTCCTGTTAAACTTAAACTTTTCTGAATTTGTTTTTGAATAAATATTTTACATAAATTGATAATTTACTGATTAATAATTTAATTAATATTTGTATTATATTATTTTACAGTTTTTAGTTTACAAAATGTTTATCTGAGTTATAATGTTATTTTATATTCGTATAAAAAAGATTTTAGCATCGTCAAGGCATAAATTTATAACAATTTAATCTTTTACTTCATTCTATTTATTATTATTTATTGCTGATTTAAACTTGATTATTTATCTTTTTGTAAATAATTTAATAAAAAACAAGAAATTAAATCAAAAAATATAAAAAATAAATAGTAAATTTAATAATTTAAAATTAATGTTTTTTAGCTATATTTATTATTATTTGATTATAAATTTTTTATTAGTTATGAAAAAAAATTAGAAAATTAATGGTATTACAACTCTGAAGTTATTGTGAAAAGCAATACAATAAAATTTTAGAAAGTTTTTTTTTATTTTATTATTTTAAATAATTTATTTTAATTTTTATGTTCTTGAAAATTTTCTTTTAAAAAATATATTGTAGAATAGCAAAGTATTTTTTAAAAATAATTATTATAGTAAAAAATAAATTATTGATAATAAATAACTTTTTTCTTAAATGTTTTTGATATTTACAATAAATTGAAAATTTAAAACTGTTATTTATCTTCAAGTTTATGTAACTATATTTATATTTAGTAATTAAAAAGCTGACATTATTAAAATAAATATATATTTAATTTAAATTAAAAATAAATAACCTAATTTAGATTTATTTATATAATAAGTTCAATAATAAATTATTTTATATATTTGATAAGTTAAGTTTTTTTAATAGTTTTTTAAAATGTTCTTTAGTAAAAATTATTAAAATTAAAGTATTATTTATCTAAAAGTTAAATGTACTTATACACGCTTTAATATATATATATATATATATATATATATATAATTATATATATTATTCATAAAATATATATAAAATATTGTATATGATTATTTAATATTTAGTTTTTTTAAAAAAATTTAAATTCTTATAAAGATTTATGCTTGTTATCTATTTAATCTAATCGAAACATTTATAATTGTATATATTTGCATTTAATATTATTAAAAAATCAAAATAATTAATTTTTTTAAATTTATTAAAAGATCAATAAAAATGGTTGTTATATTTAATCAGCATATATTAAATAGTATGTAATTATAAATCAAATATATTTTTTAATGGTATTTTTAGTAGTATTTTAAAGTTTAAATATATGTATATTTTAAAAAACGTAATATAAATTTGAATACATCATATTATATAAAAAAAAGATGAACATATAAGTATGCAATTCATATATACTTAATATTAATTTATTATTTAAAAAAATAAATATTATATATATACAAGAAATAATTATTTATAATATCATAAATTAGACACAAATTAATATAAAAATAAACATTTTATAAAAATAAATATAAAGAAAAATATATTATAAACCAAATGGCAGGTGTATTAAGAGCAAAAGATAATCCTGTAGTATTTTTTGATATAACAATAGGTTTTATAAAATATTAGAGCTTATAACAAAAATTAAAAAAAAAAAAAAAGGTGGTCATAAAGCAGGAAGAATAAAAATGGAATTATTTAAAGATGTATGCCCTAAAACAGCAGAGAACTTTAGATAAATGTGTACTGGGGAATTTAAAAGATTTGATTAACCAGCAGGGTATAAAAATTGTACTTTTCATAGGATAATAAAAGATTTTATGATTTAAGGAGGAGATTTTTTAAAAGTATAATACATTTTTATATTTAGTTATAAGATAATATAAAATATATAAATAATTTCTAGAATGACGGTACAGGAAGTATAAGCATATATGGTGAAAAATTTGACGATGAAAATTTCATCTTAAAGCATGATGATATTGGATTGTTATCAATGGTATAAATTTACACCTTTTTTTATTTCACACTTTTTTTTTTATTTTTTTAACAACAATAAAAAGGCTAACTCAGGAAAAAATACAAATGGAAGTCAATTTTTTATTACATGTTCAAAATGCGAATGGCTTGATGATAAACATGTTGTGTTTGGAAAAGTTATTGATTAAGCAAGTTTATAAGTTGTACGTAAGATAGAAAATACTCCTACAATTGGAAAAAGCAATAAACCTAAAGTTCCTGTTGTAATTGAAGAATGTGGTGAACTATGAAAACAAAACAAAAAATAATTAAAGAAATGTTAATATTTAAATATATTAATTATATATTTTAATTTTTTACAAATTTTATTTATTAAGTTTTAATTTTATTTTATATCCAACAAAAAAATATTTTATTTACTTTTAAAAATTTTTGATAAAATAAATAATTATTTTCTAATTAAAAAAAAATCGTTTCAACTTAATAAATTTAATTTTTATTATATTTATTAAGATATAAAAATGAAAAATTTTATTTAAAATAAAAACCTAGAAATAGAAATATAAACATAAGATAATAGTCATTTGAATTCAAAATTAATATAGTCTTAAGATACCTATAATTTATAAAAACAAATGGACAAATCTATTTTCTACGACTAAATTAATAAAATATAGAATGATATTGGTAAAAATAAATTTATATATAAGAAATATTTTTTATTTTAATTATTTAAAATAAAATTAGATAAAAATGATACCTATTTATAATATGATATTGACTAAATTTAAATATAAGAATACTTCTTAAACAAATTAAAAGATTTGACTCAAAAAGTATAAAAATACATAATATTATTATTAATTAAAAAAAAAAAAAAGTTAGATTCTTTAAAGTAGGAATATTTTAAAAAAGATTAATAATTGTTTTTTTATGAAACAGAGATATCAAAACAAAAAGGTTTAAAAAATAATTTATAATTAAAATTTTGAATTAATAATAATTTAGAAATACAATTAGAAAACGAAAAACAAAAACAATCCATATTAAGTATGGAAAAAATATTAAACTAGTAATAAGAGATTATAAGAAGGGATGAATAAGAAATATATAATTTAAAAGAAGAAATAAATGAAAAAAGCAGATTAAATATTTAAAAAGATAAATTTATTTAAGAACTAAAAAAAGAAAATAATTTAATATAGCCTTTGTAAATAGAAATGGAAGAAACACTAAAGAAATGTCAACTTTAAATGTAAGATAATAAGTAAACTCATAATGAACAAATAAAAGTATTATCACATAATTTGGAAAAACTTTAATAATAAAACAATTAGCTTAAATGTGAATTAGAGTTAAATAAAAGAAATTCTTTTTAAATAAATGACTTACAAAACTAATTAAATGAATTAAAAAATATTAATTAATAATTAACAGATAATCTAGAAAAAGAAAAGGAAAATGTAAACTTTTTTATCATATTTTCCTTTTTATTTATTATTTATTTTTTATTAGAACTTTAAATTTTAGAAAAATATATCTGATTTATAATATTAAATATAAGAAAATAAAATAAATTTTGAGATAAATTTAAAATTATAAATTGATAAAAATTAATATTATTTAAATGAAAATCAAGATTTGAAGGATTATAATGACAGCTTATTGAAAAAACTTGATTAAAATTAATAAAATAGAAGAGATATTGATAAAAAAATACATTCTTTAGAAAATTAAATTTAAGTTTTGGAAGAAGAAAATTAAATTTATAAAATAAGAAATACAGAATATGAGCAAAAAAATACTAAAATAAATGAATTAAATAAAATTTTATAATAGGACTTGAATGATTGTATTTAAAATGTCAAAATAAAGTAAAATGAAAATTAAACTTTAGAATTAAAAATAAATGAATTAAAACAAATAATATTTTAACAATAATAAGAATCAGATTTAATTTAATAATCATTAAATAAATAAAGTAAAGTTGATAATAGAAAGAATGATTTAAGATTACACATAGAATAAGTAAGATATTTTTTTAAAAAAAAGTAAATATAATATATATAAATATAGATAAAATAAGAATTGACAAATATTAGAATTTAAGAAGTATAAAAATTAGATTAATGCTTTAGTACATTTCATTTAAATGCTATGAATTTTTGAAAAAATAATTTAAATTCAAATTTAAATTTAAATTTAAATTAATATTGATAAAAAAAAAAAAAAACATATCAAATATTTTTTATTAATTAATTAAAAAATATATTAAATAAATAGCAAAATTAATAAATTAATAACTAAGAAATTATAAATTAAGAAAAAATGTCTGTTTTTTATAAATCAATTCTCTTTTCCCACATAATATATTCATTATTATATTCTGACTTTCGTTTTTTATAGATATATTTTACTCTTATAATATTGCATGTATCTATTCATTTTTTACTTCCAACAAATAAGTAATGTAATTCAAATCGAAGAAAAATAAATCAAGCCACATGGAATGAACCATAAGAAGGCTTAATATACGCAAAATTAGAAATTGATTGTACAAAGGTTTTAGAGTTAATTTAAAAAAAATAATAAGAAAATAATTAAATTAAAATTACAATAACTCATTTCGGTATTAAAGCTGCTGCATAGCTTTTAGATTCTTCTAGGCATATTATTAACGGAAAATTTATTTTTGGCAAATTCTTTCCTTTTCCAACAATTGATATTACTTGCTTAGTTGATATTAATGCTTAAGTAAAAAGAAAAATGCATTTTTTTAAATAAATTAAATTAAATTATAAAATAAAAGGATCTTTCTGCACTCTCATTAAGAAACGTAGATAAGAAAGGAGTTCTTGCAATATAAAATGAAGTAAATGAAAAATCTAAAGATATAAAAAATAATAAAGGGGGGAAAATACATTAAAAATAAACAAGAATAGTCAGTTTCTTACCTCCTTTATTAATTTCTTTAGCAGCTGATATACTTAAATTTATCCTCTATTATCTTAATATCGATTTTCCTTTATTTAGTTTTTAAAAAAATCATTTTGGAGGCGCTCATGTAACTTCAGTAGGATCAATCGGTATTGATGATGCTTTCGTACCTTATGTTAATAGCACAAATGTACCTATGTTAATAGCTTTAGGAAGAGTTAAAGAAAAACCTATTGTAAAGAATGGGAAAATAGAAATAGCTCCAATTATAACTTGTAATTTTACAATTGATCATAGATTTATGGACGGAAGCTAAGCAAAAAGTGGATAAAATGCCTTCAAAGATGTATTTGAACGACCTGAATTATATATTTGATATCACGAAATTCTATTATAATTTTTAAGATAATTTGATTAATTTTTAGCAAATATTTTAATTAAAAAGCTTTTTATGTTGCCGCTTTTTATTAATATTTTTTCTTTTTATAAATTTGTTATAATAATTATTGATTTAAAATATTATTAATTTTTTTGTGTTTTAATTCATTTGTAAATAATAAAATTAAATAAAATATAATAAATGAAGCAAGTTTTAAAATAATAAACTTGTCAGCTTCAAATACTAAATAATATTAAAAAATTAAAAATTACCATATATATATATATATAAATAAATATTTAGTTTTTATTAATGAGTGATTAGAAATTAGAATCTGACTGACCACAGCATTATAAAAATAACAGATTCTGAATCAGTTATTTACAGAAGTTTTTAAGAAAAAAAAAAAATTATATTTGATAATTACAATTTATGTTTTCAGTTTATATAGTCATTCTTATATCACAAAATTTGACATTTAATAAATCTTTATTTATTTAATCTAATTCTAGTTTTATATTTTTATATTTAATTTTATTCTTTTTTAATATATTTTTTACAAATATAAAAAAATTGATTGAAGATTTTAAATTTCTTTAATAATTTAAAATTTTTAATTTTAAAAAGAACTTATTAATAATATCATTATTAAAATATTTACATTTATTAATTATTTTAAAAGTGTAGAAATATTATATTTATTAAAAGGCTTTAAATTAAAAAAAATTCTATAATTTTTTTTAAAAAACTTTATATATTAATTTTTTAAATTTTATAAAAAATATATAAAATAATCAGTCTATAATATATATGTTTTTTAAAAAATATAAATATTATTTTTTCTAACATTTTTTTTTATTATTCTATAATAAATATAACCTCATTTATATTATTAATTCATTAATTAATTGAAATTTTTTTTAAAAAAAAATACTGAAAAATCAAAAAAACATCCGAACAAGTAATAATATAAAATTTTATGTTTACATGTTTTATTTAAAATAACTTAAAAATTTTATTTAATAAATAAATGTATATATTTTTTTAGAAATATAAATATACTTATTTTAGTATTATTTATAATCTAATTATTTCATAAATTAGAGATTTTTTATATATTTTTATTTTTTATAATATATTATATATTAGTCTAACAATATTTAAAATACAAAAATATTATGCCGTTTTACCAATTAATATATTAATATCACTATTATGAGCATTTTTATTCTGAATATAATTTTATAACAATATTTAACGATATTGTATATTTAACATACTATTTAATTTCAATTAATAAAGAAATAAATTTAGTATTTAAGTTTATTATTTAATTAACGTGAAATAAAACCTGAAATAACATGATATTATTAAAATTAGAATTTTATTTTTTATACAAAAATATCATAGTCAATTAATAAAATAATAATAAGAGAGAGAATACAAAACTAATTGCAAATAGTTGTTTGGAATTATAACTATTTAGTAGTTAAATTAACTTATGAATTGAATGCTTATAGAGGTAAATACTATAATTTTCATATTATTATGATACTTGTGTTATTGAAATTATTTGCTTAGTAAAATATCTACACTTTTAAATAAAGATACTCTTATATTAAGTTATTTTCATAAAAAAATATCAGTAAAACAAAAAAGGTAATAAGTAATAATTAAGGTCCGATAGTACGCATTTAATAAATTTATTTTGTTCTATATATCTGATTTCTTTATTTCTAAATTTTCATATTTATTATATTTAATTATTACCTTAATATTGACTTTATACTTTTTCTATAAATTTGTATGAATATGATAGCTTTTAATTACAATATAAGCATATTTTAGTAATCAATTTTTTTATAAAAATTTAGAAAATATATAATATATTTAATTTTTTATAGTATTATATAGGCAATTAAATTAAATTTTTAATCATATAATATATATTTTGCATTATAAAAAATCAGTATAGAAAATTAAAAATGTTCGTGTGAAAATTAATATTATGATATTTTCCTCATATTATTAATTAAGTTTAAAATTTATTAATATAAAAATAATATTAATTAACTGAGAAAATATAAACCAAAAAAATTATTATATTCTTAATTAGTATTAAATATTTAATATTTTGTAAACCGTTAACAAACATTTAAAAATTCTGGACCGTGAATTCATATATTTTTAAAAAGGTTAATAATAATAATCTTTTAAAAAATGGAACAGTTCTTGCTATTTCTGAGAATGCAAACTGAGTGTGTCCAGATATAACCATTTCCTATCATTATTACGTAATTTATAATACTTTTAAAATTAATATTACTACTTATAAATAAATGAATTTTATATTTGTACAAACAATTCGAAAAAAATTTTCAGTGAGAAATTTGAAAATAGATGTAACTCGAATATAAACTTTAATTTTATTATTGATAATAGATGTATTGAGGTTGTTGCTTAAATAAAATAAAGACAAAATATTTTAAATAATATTTAATTTGTATATTTATTTTTAAATGTATTTTTTTTAAATAATTTGAAAAAATAATATAATTAAAAAATTTATTTTTGTATAAAAATAAAAATTACATTTAAAAAAATGTTAAATAATTATTTTAATGATAATAAAAAAAAATATAAAGGATTACCATAATAAAAAAAAAAGTAAAATTGAGATTATGTAAGCATATTAAATAAAATAAAATCCAATGTAAATAAATAATTATTATGAATTAGATGAAATGATAATAAATTACATAAATTAAAATAAGAATTAATAATTTCCTTAATCAAATTTGTTAACAATAATGTAAAAAAATCCAATAAATGTATTATAAAGAAATGCAACAACTGATAAAATACTAAAATAATAAACTAACATATAAAACATATAAAGTGCTAAAGAAACAAATTATGTAAGTGGATATAATAATATTTTAAGTAATCTATCATGTGAGAACAATAATAGTATTTCAAAAGAAAACAATATTAATAATACTTCTACAAATATTGAAAGCTAAAATACAACTCAGAATAAACTTCATATTTAAAAACAAAGGAAATTATATCAATCTATAAGACCATAAACTGCTTTAACAAAAAACAATATATAAATTTCAAGTACAATTAAGAAAAATATTAACCAAAATATTATAATAAATGAAGATAGTAATAATTAAAACTATAAAGATTATTGTGAAAACTTAATTAAGGATTGTGAACATATTGTTAATAAAATTCAAAAGGAAAAAAACAGTATTAAAAGATTTTCTTAAGCTACTTAATAAAAACTAAATATTACAAAATTTAAATATTAAAGGCCTAAAAGTGTAAAAAAAATAGAATCATCTTCATAAAACTCTTCAAGTATTTAAAGAAAAAAATAGAAAAATGATTAAAACGAAGAAGAAGATGAAGAAGAAAATGATGGAAACTACAATTTGCATTTAATTGCAAATAATTTGCTTTAAAAGAAATTAACTTAGGAAATAAATACTCCGTATTTTTATTAATAGTAATAATAAGAAATTCATTATCAAAAAAAATAAATAAGTTAAAAAAGTATTATAAAACCATCTCCATATGTATAATATTAAAATAAAGTAATAACTGAATAAAGCAAAAAAACAATTCCTATTCTTATGCCAAATAATTTAATAACACCAAATATAGAACAAAACAATCCAATTTTTTTAAAAAAATCACATTTAGGAATTTCAAAAAGGCCAATAACAGCTATTACATCTAATGTGAAAATAGTAGGAGAAAAAATAGATATGGATAGATATGAAATCAAAGAAAATATAGGAAAAGGTAGTTATGCAATTGTAAAATTAGCAAGGGATACATTAACAGATAAAAAAGTCGCTATAAAAATATATGATAAATACAAACTTTTAGATCCATAAAAACTAAACAATGTAAAAAGAGAAATAACAATACTAAAAAAATTAGATCATGTAAATATTATTAAGTTAAACCAAATTATAGATACTAGATTAACTGTAAATCTTGTAATGGAATATATATCTTAATTATCTCTAAGATAGTTTATGAAAAATTAATAAGGTAAAATTCTTGATGAAAAAATTGCAAAAATGGTATTCAAATAAATAGTTTTTGCTGTCTAATATTGTCATGACTTTGAAGTTATACATAGAGACATTAAACTTGAAAACGTTATGCTTGATTCTTCAAATTATTAAATTAAACTTATTGATTTTGGATTTGCTATTCGAGTATAACCAGATAAAAAACTGAATATATTTTGTGGTACTCCTAGTTATATGTCTCCTGAAATTACTAGAAAAAAAGAATATTATGGAAAACCGGCTGATATATGGAGTTTAGGTATACTCTAATACATACTTGTATGTGGAAGGTTCCCATTTAAAGGTAAGGATGATAATTAATTATTCAAAAAAATTCAATAAGGTGAATATAGCTTCCCTAATTTTGTAAGTAGCTCTGCTATATCTCTAATTAATAGATTACTCAGACAAAATCCTTTAGAAAGACCAACTGCGAAAGAGGTTATATATTTATTATTATTTAAAAAATATTTTATTAATTTTAATAAAATTTAATAATATTAAAATAATATTTATTTATTTTTAAAAAAAAGATACTATATGATAAATGGTTTAATTGAATGAAAACTATTTATAAAAATGATATTAAGTGAAATATTTATAAATTTAAAGTATAAATTATATTAAAAATTATTATAATAATATTATTATTATTATTATTATTATTATTATTATTATTATTATTATTATTTTTATTATTAATAATATTAAATATTTATTATTTTAAAAATATATATTATATGTTTTATTTTAAATAAAAGTTTTTTTAATTTTATATTTTTTTTTATTTTTTTGTGTAAATAAATATGAGTTTTTTAACTATATTTTTTATTAATTTTATAATAATATTTTTATTTTTTATATAAATATAATGCGTATAATTATTATTATTTTATTATATATTTATATATTTTTAAACAGAATAATAATTAAATATTATTTTTTTATTTATTTATTATTTATTTATATATTAAGAAATATTATTAAAATTAGTTTTTATTATATTCTTATTAATATAATCTATATATTTTTTATAGTATTTTAAAAATCTCAATTTTATATAATATATTATTTTTACATAGAAATATAGAAATTTATTTTTGTTAAAAAAAAAAAATCATTTAAATTATTTTAATAAATATATTATTTTTGGTTACATCTTTATTTATTTATTTTTGATAAATAGTAATATATTTAATTAAAAACATAATATATTTTTTTAAATATATAAATCAAAAAATAAATATTTTTTTTAATTATTTCTGTTATATATTAAATTTTATTTAGATATCTATTTTCATATTTTTGAAATTTCTTGATAATTTATTTAATTCGAAATATAATATTTTTTATCATTCTTTCTTATTCTTTTTTTTTTTATTATATTAAATTTAATAAATTTTTATTAAAAATATTAATAAACTTTTGCAAAATCTATTAGAATTTTTTTATCTTAAAAAAAATTAATTGGTCTTAATAATTTGAGTGTAATATATATATTTTTTAAAAAATTATTAAATAATATTTATTTTTATATAATAATAATTTTTTTTTTTTTTTGTAAAATCAAGATAAAAAATATGAATTAAATAATAGAAGAGTAAAAAAGCTTTGATTAAAGCTTCAACTAATATTTACAGTAATGCTCAATTAATTTCACATCAAACCAATATACATCTAAAAATAGTTTTTCTGAGTCAATATAAATTAGAATGTTGGATTACTGTTCTTATGAATAATTTATTACATAAATATAATTGATTGGATAACCCGAAGATTATTTTAAAAAATAAGAATTATCATAATTAAAATAAAATATATTTTTTATAGAAGTTATAGATGATTAAGGCTAAATATATTAGTAATTTATATATAAAAAATAAAAATATAAAAAGAATTATAATTTTATTATTTAAAATATAAAAAAGGCTTAGAAGAAGATACTAAGACTTTTTATAATTAGACAAATAAGTAAGCTTATATTTTTTGTAAAAAAAAAAATAGTTATAATTATTAAAAAAAAGGTTTAAAAATAAATAAATGAATTAGAAATATATGATTTGTAGCTACCAACCTTTCCTAAATAAGAAAATGAAGCTCCTGCTGAGAACTTATTGATATTTTTCAATTAATATTTTAATTAATATATATTTAAAAATAAAAAATTAACAGAAAGTTATCCAGTAAGGCTTTTTTTAGAAATATCTCGCATTAATCATTATGGTCATTAAAAATATAAAGAATAATTCATGAAAAAGAAAGCCGGAGGAAGAAGTAATGAAAATAGATGTGTTAGATGCGGAGTTTTTTGGGGAAAATGGAATAAAAGATATTTTTGCATCACTTCAGATGGAATATCTATATCTAAAGGTTAAATTTATATTAAAAACATAAATATAAGAATAAATATAAAGATGTTATATAAGAAAAATGTTAAATACGTGAAGTTATTATGTTCGATTATGATTTTTCGGTTGAATATGGTAAATTTTCCACTGGATATAATAGAGGGATTAGTATTAATTCTAGCAATAGGAGATTATTATTAGAAGCTTGTGACTTATTTTCGTTTTTTGATTTTCTTTTTGCATTAAAATAGGCTATGTAACAAAGTCCTTATTTAGGTATTCATAGATTCGCTTCATATTCCCCGGAAAGGGAAAAAAATGACTGCGTAACATATGTTGATGGCGAAGATTATTTCAAGGAATTATATAAATGCTTAAAAAAAGCTGAGAGAGAGATATTTATTACCGATTGGTGGCTTTCTCCTTAATTTTATTTGGTAAGACCTGTAGGAGAAAATGAAAATAACTAAACCAGAATTGATTTAATTTTAAGTCAAAAATCTCGATAAGGTATAAAAATATATATCATAGTTTATAGAGAGCCTAAAATCGCTTTAACAATAAATTCTTAATTTACAAAATATAATTTAATTAATTCATCATCAGCATAAAAAAATAATATTAAAATATTAAGACATCCTAGTACTTTATACCCTTTCATGTGGTCTCACCATGAAAAAATGGTTATTATTGATTAAAAAATAGGATTTATGGGAGGTTTAGATATCTGTTATGGAAGAATGGATAATTCTAATCATTTTTTATATGATTATCATGAAATTAATGGTAAAAATTCCTTTTGGCCAGGTATTTCTCAATTTTTTAATTTTTCGTGTTAAATATAATTAATTAGAATAAAAAAAAATTAAATAATATATATAAAAAACATTATCAAAACTAAATATTTTTCAAGGAATTGATTATTGCAATTCTAGAATGAAAGACTTTCAAGATGTGAAAATTTATAATAAACCTGAAATTGATAAATCAAAAGACCACAGAATGCCATGGTTTTTATTTTTATATATATTTTATTTTTAAATAATATAAAGGCATGACGTCGCCATAAAAGTAAAAGGAAAAGTAGTTACTGATATGACTAGACATTTTATTTAATATTGGAATTTTGCTTAATAAGATTTAGAGTCTTAAAAAGGAAAAGAATAATATTAAATACTTAGAATAAGATAACAAAGTATGAATATGACTGAATAGAAAAATACAAATAAGTTTTTTGATAAAGTAAAAAATAAATGGGAAAAATTCAAGCACAACATACTAAATAGAAATGATAAAGAAGTAAAAAAATAAATATAGTTTTAATAAAAATAGTTTTAATAAAAAATTAAAAGAAAGATTATTTAAGCGAAAATCTTGTTTAATACTAAATAAATAGTAGATATTAATAGCAAAACGCTTTTTAATTGTAAAAGGTAAGTACTTTATATATAGAAAACCTAAAAAAAACTACCATAATAATCTAAATAAATAATACTTGAATGATGAAATTAATTCTTAAGAAATAAAAACAGAAATCCAGGAAGAAATGTTTTTTGATACTGAAAGAAAACCTAAAAGTGATATAATAAAAAATAAAGTTAGAGCTTAGTCTTAATATCCTTCACCAATTAAGATTTCCTTTTAATAAAAATCTTAATAACATTATTAAATTGAAGAGCTTAGAAAGCAAAGTAAAATATAAATAATAATAAAAATATAAAAAATAAAAAAATAGGATCTCATTCGGAATGCATATCATATTAAAATTCTTAATTGGATGAACAATATATAAAAATATTAGAAGAAGCCGTTGAAAATAAAGATGATGACATAAAAAATGGTTTTTATTAATAAAAAAGTTCCTAATAGGAACAAAACATTTTGAACACGTAAACATTAAAATTAAAGAAAAATGTATCTTCATAATCTTCATCATCGTCTAGTGAAGAAGACCAAAATGAAATATTATTAAATAATTTACATAGTAGAAAAGTTTCTAAGGGGACAAATAATTGTTAAATGTTAAGATCTAGCAGTATTTGGTCTTGTGGAATAAAAGATACAGAATGTAGTATCCATATGGCTTATATTCATTTAATTGGACAGGCTCAACATTTTATTTATATTGAAAATTAATTTTTTATAAGTAATTTAGCAGGAGAACCTGTCACAAATAACATTGCTTTGGCTTTGGTTGCTAGAATAAAATAAGCATTTTTAAGAAATGAGAAGTTTAGAGTTTTTGTTGTTCTTCCTTTACTTCCTGGATTTTAAGGAGAAATAGATGGTAGTAACTCCGGAGTTTTAAAAATTTAACTACATTGGGAATATTTAACAATTTGTAGAGGAGGAAATTCTATTTATGAAACTTTATAAAGAGAAGGAATTTCTGATCCTGAAAAATATATTTCTTTTTATGGATTAAGGACACATGCGAAAAAAGAAGGATGTATTCCTGTAACTGAGATTGTATATGTCCATAGTAAGTTAATGATTGTGGATGATAAAAATTTAATCATTGGTTCTGCTAATATTAATGATAGAAGTATGAAAGGATCAAGAGATTCTGAAATTGCAGTTTATTTTTATTTTTTTGTATTTATTTTACATTTTCTTTTCTTAGATGTTTGTTCAAGATTAAGATTTAATTGAAAGTAAAATGAATGGAAAATAATATATGGCAAGTAAAGTTGCGTTTAATTTAAGAATTAAACTCTTCTAAGAGCATTTTGGACTTAGCTTTTAATAATTAATTGATCCTTTAAGTGAAGATATGTTTAATAATATATGTTAGAATTGTAAAGTTCGCATTTATTTTAATTTTATTTTTATTATTATTATTTTATTTTTTAATTTTTTTAGAGAAATACAGAAATATATAGAGAAGTCTTTAGATGTTATCCTGATGATAATATTAAAACTTCTAATGATTTCCAAGATTTTTAAAAGACTAGAAATTTAGATAAATATGATTAATTAAAAAATTAAATTGTAGGATTTGCTGTAGAGTTTCCTAAATAATTTTTATAAGACGAAAATTTGGAGTTAAGAATTTCTTAAAGAGAATATTTCTGTCCTTCAATTAATTTTACATGATATTTTAAACAATTTTAATTATTATATGGATTAAAAATATTTTAATAATATTTATTAAAAAATTTAATTTAAATAAGTTTGTTATTTTTCTTTATATTTGTTTTTACTTAATTATCAAAATATAAAAATTATTTTCAATACAAAAAATCCTAATTGATTAAGACCTATTTTTACATTTTGAAATAATCTTAAATATCCTTAATTATATTTTTAAAAATAAATTTAAAAAATGGTCTTAATCACAACAACAACAACAAAAATATATAAAAAGTAAATAAAAAATATTATATTTAATCAGAATTAAATATAAATTGAATAAAACTTAATTTTAAAGAATTTTCCTTTAGTTTAATATATTTTTTTCAGTTTAATTTTTTTTACTTTTGAATTTTCCTTTTATCTATTTTTTTTATATGTATATTTTCGTAATATATTATTATTTAATCTAAATCTTTTCTTTATTTATTTAATTTTTAATAATTGAGTTTTAGTATTTTTTTTTAATTTAAGATTATTTATCTTCATTGATTAAAACCAACCTTAAATCATTTTATATATGACTAAAATGGTCTTAATTAAAAAATTTTAAAAAAAAAGTTAAAAAAACCTTAATTGAAATTGAAATCTTAAAATTTACTGTAATAATATAAGAATTTATAAATATAATTAGTTTTGAAATGTAAAAACTAAATAAAAAGATGCAAACTTAAATTCTATTAATTAATTTAAATAAATAAAAAAAATTATTTAAAATAATATTTCATAAAGAATATCTATCTCGTATTTTTTTTTTTTTTTTATAGTTTTTTTTTTTTTTTTTTTTTTTTTTAAAAAAAAAAAAATAGGTATATTTAAAAATAATAAATAATAAAATAAAATAATGAACGAAAATCTCATTTAATAAACATATATATTTTACTTTCTTATTAATTTAATACTAAAACTTTATTTGAAAATATTAATTCAGTGTTTTCATATAAAATAGTTATTTTACCTAAATTGAATAAAAAATAGTTTAAAAGTTAAAATAAAAATATACAAAAATAGGCTAAAAAATAATAATAATTTAAAAAATAAAATTATTTCTATAATTATTTATAAAAATAATTTTATTATTTATTGTAAAATAATTTTTTTTTTAAAAAAAAAAAATTAAATTAATAATGTTTTTCAAATATAATAATACTAATACATTCCATTAGTTCCTTATCCACCTTATTTTTCTCTTGGTAATATAGGTAAAGATAATTGATCCCAATTTTTCGATTCAAATGTTTTAGTAAATATGTATGTTGTCAAATTAGTCTAAAGCATACCAGTCATTAATTATTATTCTTTAGCATTTTGACATTTTTCAAAAGATTTTTAGATATACTATTGTAATTAAACTCTTTGCTTTTCACATAATAAATACATAAAATTAAATTCAATTTTCTTGTATCAAATCTATTTTTTTCAAAATTTTAAAAAATATCAGAAGGAATTAGTATATCTTAATCCCATCTAGTTCTTTTGTTAATTTTTTATTCATTCCTAAAGAATATTAAACAATTTTTTTTTTTTTTGATTTTTTTTGATTTACAATACAGTTCTTTTAATTTCTTCTAAAAGTGGATCATAATGGTTATCATTTTGCATTAAATTACCGCCTTTTTATTATAATTAATTTATTATAATTAATTTATAAAAATATATATATATTTTTAAAATAATAATAATATACTTGTCTACTATTAATATGTAAGATTAAAATTTTAATTATTTTATGTTGCAGTATTTTATAATGTGCCTGTCTATATTTATGATACTGCTGCTTATGTCATTTATTGTTTAGTTTATATTTATTATTGTATTGGCTATATTGCAGTAGGAATTGTTGCTAATGCTTGTGGTATATATGCTTATTAGTTATAAGCGCCTGGTTAAGCTTAATAATAATTAAAATAGTTTCCTTGTGCTGTCTATTAATTATATAAATAAGGCTATTATTGCTACTATTAATAATACTATTGTTAATATTATTGCATATATGCTTAATATGCAAGTGGATTAGCTTTTTTAATTAAATATATATAAATATTATTATATATATATATTACTTTATTGAGCTTATTGTAATTGCTACAAATATTTTTAATACTATTAATATTATAATTATTGAGAATTTAAATCTGATTGTATTTTATTCTAATCATCTTATTATTAAATTCTATTTTATAAATTTTTATTTATAAATTAGTTTTGTTTTAACTATTTGTATTATATATTATTTATTTATATATTTTTTATAATCCTGTATTTACTAATCTTATTGAATTTAATTCATTTTTGTATTAAGTCTCCTTTTTTAAATTCTTTTTTACAAATATTATATTAATATTTTAAATATATGTTTTGTTAGTAATTTTTTTATTAAAAATATATCTTAAAATTATTAATTTAATATTAAATAATATATATTTTAATTATATATTGATAATGTCTATATTAATATTATTAAAAATATATATTAATAAGAAATTTTTATAACTTTTGTATTTTATAATATATTACATATTAAATAGTTCTAAAGATATAAATATATATAGTTAACAATTATTTAAGAAAAAAATATTTAAATTTTATTTATTAAAATTATTTTTATATTATAATATATTTATTTTTAAAATAAAATATATTTTGTATTAAGTATATTTATATATGGAACTTTTAATTATTTATTATATTATTAATAAATATTTAATATATAATAAGAAAAATATAATTTATTATTATATTTAAGATAAGAAATAAAATTAATTTATTATTTGAATTCTTCAATTATTTTAAAATACATATTTTTTTAAATTATAAAACTTAAAATATATTATACTAATACAATTATTACATTTTTATATTTTTTTTATTCTTTTTATATTAAGTATCTAGAGATGATTTAAGTAAAATACTTTTTATGTTAGATACATTAAAGTTTATTTAATATTTTTTAATAAAAACTAATTTTTAAAATTAAGATAATCGTATGAATACAATTGAATAGATTGTTTAAGTAAACTAATTAAAATAATATTAAAATTTTTAGGACTCTTTAAATAAATATGGGATTTTATTTTATATAATATTTTTTTTATAATATGAAAAAATAAAATAAAATCAATATAAAATTAAAATATAAAATACAAATATAATTAATTATTTTTAAACACTTAAAATTAAAAAATAAATACATTTTAAATAATATTAGCAGAATAATTTAACGAAATATATATTTATTATCGGTTCATATTGTTTTTTATTTTTAATAACAAAAAAAAGTGAAGAAAAATTCGATAATAGTTTTTTTTTTTTGATTAAGTCTATTAAAAAAAAAAAAAGCAGATAAATTAAAAAAAATAATATAAACAAACAATATATTTATTATATATATTTTAATATTAAATTAAAATAATATGAATATAGAAAAGATTTTCTATTAAAACTTTGGTAAAAATTAAAACTGTCTTAAATCTTTAGAGTTGAACTATAGTAATTGTTTTATTTATTGATTTTTGCTTTTTAAAAAAATAATAATATCTTATACCAAAAACTTGCCTTTCAACAAATAAATATAAGAATTATAAACTAGATTAGTATTATAACACTTCATTTAATAATAAATATTTTATTTTAAGTTTATATATAATAAAACTTACATTATCCCACTATATTAATTCAAACAATTATTCTTCCAAACTTCTACTTAACCTAAATAAATATTGACATCGAATAAAATATATAAAATATTAAAAAAAAATATATAGATATTATATATGAATTTTTATACAATATATTTATATTTAATTAAATTATATAAAATATATTAAATTTTAAAACAAATATTGAGAAAATTATATAATCGATATAAAATCTAATGAAAAACTAATTTTTTAATAAATCTTATATGAAAAATTATAAAATAAAAAATGAAATTGTACTAAATGAATGATAATTTTTTTTAAGTTATCGCTTTTTTGAGCATATATTATTTTAATTAAATTTAAAATTGTATATTTTATTAAAATTTATTGAATATAATATTTTTATTTTATTTATTTTATATATTAAATATACAATAAATTATTAATTATAGTATTTTACATTTTTTTATTTAATAATAATTTTATCAAAATATTAAAAAAAATTATATATTAATTTTCAATTTTAATTTTCATAATTTTTGACAATCTATACTATTATTTTTTTCTGAAAGCATAAATAATTTTTACAATCAAATTTAAAATAATAAAATACAAATAAATTTAAATTCATATAGTAAAAATTTTTTTTTAATATAATATAAAATCAAAATTATATAATACTATTATATAATAAATACATACATTATTAATAATTATATTTTTTTAATATGTAAATAAAAATAATAATTAATTTTAAAAATCTAATTAAAAAATATATTAACTATTATTTTCTTTAATTTTAAAGCATTTTAATTTTTAAATAAAAATTAATTTTTTTTTTATTTTTATTTTTGTTTCTTTTTTAAATTTTATTTTATTTTTAATCAAATATATAAAAAGATATTTGATAGAAGTAATAATTAAAATGAAAGCATGTTTCCCAAAATAAATGATTATTTTAAATATGTAAATATTAAACAAATAAAAAATTATTTTGAAAAAACTTTATATTAATTCAAAAAGTATTAAAAAAATAAAATTTTTCAGCAATAATACAAAAATAATAGTTAAAATAAAATACATATTAATCATTTATAATAATAAAAGTATAATAAATAAAAAAAAATCAATTTCAAAATAAAATAGAAAAATGTATGTGAATATAATATAATTTCATATAAAATATAAGATTATTATATTATATTTTAACATTTTTCTATTATTCAATCGAAATTCTAAAAAAAATTTACTTAAACCTCTATATTAATTAAATAAATATTTTTACTATTATAATTTATTTTTATATGAATTTGATTATAATTT